TGTCATTTTGAATCCCATAATGTGGGCAAGTAAAGGGTCAGATTTCTACAAAAAATATACAAAACAATAGGTAAATACCTCATATATCTATAAAAAAAATTTTATTGACTTGTTTATTTTTAAAAAAGAGAACGAGAGAAATTTTTTCAATTTTTGAGGATAATGTCTTTGACTAGATACTATTTATGATCTTTTGACGTATCGTTAAAAGAAATCAGCTTGTTGAGAGCTGAGAAAAAGTGGTAACAGACAAAAAAAACAAATTATAGTAATAAATACCTTCTCAGCTTTGCATCAAAGCTAAAAAGTCTAAAACAATGTTTGAAACTATTTTCCCTAAAATCCACATAATAAAGCAAACATTATTTTTACTATGTTCAATCCATTTTTGTTTATTGTCAATAACACTAATAGTCATATTTAAATATATTATATTATATCTTACTATTTTCTCTAGATTTAATTTTGATGCGCAAATTTTTGTTTAAAATAACATTGCTGTATTAATATTTTGTGCTAGTATTTATTTAATAAATTTTGAATTTTGTTTTTGTATAGAACTGCTGATCAATTGAAACCTTAATAAATAAAATGACTTACTAATTTTTCAAGACTGACTTAGATTTACCACCTCCAAATGGTAATTGATGAATTTGATCAATTATTTTCCAATATTTTTTGTTAAAATAATTTTAGTTTTACTTGATATTTATAATTTAATTATGTACAAAAATATATTACATTGATTTTTTTTTAATTTATCCAATTTATTACTTTAATTAATCCACTTTTTTATTTGTTAATATTATAACTAATCTTTAGTATGATCAGTATAAAATTAACTATCCCTTTAAACTCATCCTATGTATAACAGTTTGTATTTTTTATAATGACAAATAACATTTCTACTGCTTTAGTGTTATTAAATTACAATATACTTAATGATACCTATTACTTTCTTTTCATATTGAATGAAAAATATTTAGTAATTCTTTTCTTTATTTTAATGAGGTCCTATAAGTGCATGATACAGTAATTTAATTCATTCTCTTGTTACCAGCACTGTAGATCTATTTCTTAATACTATTAAATTTAAGTGTCTGAAAAATCTGAAGAAGGCAAGAATTGAAATTGAATTATTAAAATAAATCCTTATACCTAACATGAGAACAACAAACATTTTTTTTTTAAATATCTAAGTACATTATTACAGCAACAACCAGAAAGGGAATATGACCCCTCTTAAAAAATGATTCTTTAATTATAATTGTTTAGGTTTATCAAATTCCTTATAGATATCTTATCTTTTAAAAAAAAATAATCTTTTCACTATAAAAATGTTTTGGTTTCACCCAGTGTTGTTTTACTAATGATGACAAAATATTAATTATATACAAAGGCTGTACCTATTATATAAAACCAAAGTCATTTGACAGGTAAAAAAATTTACAATAATGCTGATTTATATAGTACACTTAGCAATGATATTGCTAGTTACCAGTACTAAATTATTCAAAAGCTGGTGACAAAAACAAAATTCCATACTCTAAAATAAATCAAAGGGATAACTTGTTTAAATCATTTTATTTACTTCAATCATATTGTAGTGATTTTTTTTTTTTGACTAAATAAATATAAAGTATACTTAAACTATATTTATACATTACATACGTAGAATATTCACTATATACATTATTTTTAATGGTACGAGTAAAAAAAATGATATCTTACATTAGTATTAATCCAATATATGCAATAACTAATCATAATTAAAAAGGTTTATTATACTTGTGTTTCCATGTATTTTTTTTGGGAAAGAAAGGCACAAAAAGTTACTGAATTTCTCTTTGGTTATGTAGCTGAGAAGATTTAGTAACAATGGTGTGATGCATATTATGGAAAAATAAGTTATCACACCATTTATGCCACTCACAATAAAAAGATCTCTTATTTTAAATTACACGCATTTTAAAACAACCAATTTAACACAATAACATTCAAAATATTTAATGATGAGTTACCTTAGTAAATATAATCTAGTAGGTCTACATATAATTTGATTAAATTAGAAAAAAATCACAAAATTTACAAAGTCGTAGCAAGTAATAATATTGTACTTTAAATACAAAGATATTTTTTCTAGAAATTAGAAAGATAAAGTTAAGAAGTGTTATACAAGTCAACAGATTTTATCTTATAAATTATTTCATAGTTATATATTGCTGGTTAGTAAAAATCAACTGTAAAGTTAACATTCATTTTTTAATTTGTGGAAAATATAATAATTTTTTGATAAAATCTCTATAATTAAAATGTTTAAACTTTTAAAATTAATAAAAACAATGGTATTATTATCAAATAGTAAGACAAATAAATAAGGGTTACTTAATGGAAGCACACATCCTAGTGATTATTTTACTCATTTTTTTTATCTACAGAGGCATTTTAATAAAAATTACACGACAACAACTAAAATAATGCATGAAAATTATTTTTTAAAAGTAACACCTGATAAAAAAATTTAGTAATTAGATTTTTAAAATATACTTAATGCATTTTAAGCCCTTTATAAAAAACTATAAAAATTTTAAAAATGTACATCCAATTAATTTGGTATATCAGGAACCCCATTCTACTTTTAATTACAATTAAACTAATAATTTTTACTTGCAATTAAGACTATAAAATAGTGACTTTAAAGATTAAAATAGGAAAAAAGTATTAAGACCCAGAATGAGCTTCGCTAGGATGCCTCAAAAGTTGAGCTTGACTACTTGATGATTGAATATGCCTGATAGGCTGTAAACCTAAAATTGTTGTGTGAATAGGAGTTGATTGTAGGCTAACTTGTTCAGTCTGTATATGTTGAATTGATTGCACAGCAGTAGTTGTTGCAGTACGACTTCTTGATGGTGGTGGATCCATGTGTTGCCTTTCATGAAGAACTAGATGATTTTTTTGCATGAAACTTTTACCACATTTTTGGCATGCAAATGGTTTTTCTTTACAAGTAGCATTTGGATACTTAACATGATGTTGTTGTAAGCCATGTTTTTGAGTAAAACCACGACCACAATCTCCACAATAATGAGATTTCTTGTTGACTACTCCTGATTGATGTTGAGCTTGATGATGGTTTTGTACATTGTTAATACCATTAGATACACCTTGGACACTTTGTTTCAAAGTAGCAGCTAGACTACAAATATCTGATAAGAAACTGTGATCACCAATATGTAATCTCATATGAAGTGCAAGACCTTCATCACTAGCAAAAGTTTCACCACATTCCCTAGAAAAAATGTTTCAAGTCAATTACTATTTTATATTAAGATAGAAATAATAATGTAAATTAAATACCGGCATGCTTTGCTAGCAGTTGCTGTATAAGGGGATCTATGAACAGGGGTTGATGAATTTAATCCACAATTTCTAACATGAACTAGCAGAGTGCGTCTTTGCAAAAATTCTTTTCCACAAGCTGGGCATGATTCAGGAACACGACCATGTTGACGTTCATGATTAACCAATTCAAATTTACGCAAAAATGCTGCTCCACAATCAGGACATACAAATGGTTGTGTACCTCCATGAAATCTTGAGTGCATGACTAGATGTTCTTCCCTAGAGAATGTTTCTCCACATACCTATTATGTACATTTGTCAATAATCAAAAGTAAAATATTTAATCAGCAAAAGTTCTTTTTGATGTTACTTACAGAACAAGAATAAGGACGTTCACCAGAATGAAACTTGATATGAGTAGTCAAATGACGTTTCTGTGGAAATCTACGCCGACATTCAGGACATTCAAATGGTCGATCTCGGGTATGAACTCGTTCATGGCTTACCTATAATTTCATAAATAATTAATAATAGATTAAATAAAATTTATTCTAATACCAACCAAATGATGTTTTAAAGTAAAACTTTTATTACATTCTAAACATTTATAAGGACGTTCAGAACTATGAAGGAGAAGATGTGTGCTTAAACAATGTTTTAATGCAAATGTTTTTCCACATTCAGGACAAATATGTGGACGTTCACCAGTATGGCCTCTCATATGAGTAGACAAATGATGTTTCATCAAAAATGTTTTTCCACACTCTTCACAACCGTGAGGACGTGCTTTGGGTACCTAAATTTATTATACATTTTTTTTATAAAAATATTATATACTTCAACAATTTCTAAAACAAAGCTTGTAATATTTACTTGTAAATTTGGTTTGATATCTACGCTGGAACTTGAATCGTGATTAACAAGTGCAGCAACTACTTGTTGTTGCTGCTGCTGTTGTTGTTGCTGTTGCTGCTGTTGATGATGAGTATTTAAATTTGGATTACTAGTTTTTCTAGTAAAATATTCTCCGTCTGTTGTGGATAACTGAATAGGCGGTGCCAAAAAATGTCTAGCCTCTTCGTTCATAAAAAACATGCTTCGAAACATGAGATTGTTGTTCATTGTTGTCACGTCATTCTGATAATTTTTGTTGGTGCTAAACCAAATATTTTTGACCGTTTTTAATTGTTTTTTAATGTTTAATTTTGGATCTATTGAATTAACGGTAGCTAAAGAAGTTGATGGTGAAGAACAAGAATTTTCAAATTCAAGTCGTTCAGTCAGATGGCTTGTTACCAATTTAATTGGCTGAAGATTATCATTACATCTAAAAAAAGCAAACAAATAGAAAAGACAATTACAAAACAAACAATCAATACAATAAATTTAACTACATAAATAACAATTGTTTAAGACAAAAGTTTAACTTACATACTTTTTTAACATTAACTAGCTAAGCCGGTATAATAATGTCTCAAATAAATTTTTAAAAAGACATTGATTATTGATACACCAAATATTGTTAACGATGAATAAATATCAATTTTTTAAGACAAAAGTGTATGCACTTATAACATGAATACATGGTATAATTGTTGAATAAAACTATTCAATGTAGCTACCATGTAAACTTTTTGAGGAAATCAATAGAACCAATAAAAAAATTTAATTTGTTTTATATGGTAAACAATAAAAGCGTCAATGACATCTTGTGTTGTGTTTGATAACATTCCGCCATTTTAATTGTGTAGGTGAATCGACGGTGGGTCATATAATGATTACAAAAAAAAATATGGTTTAAGTAAAAAGGTATATTTCTAAAGCAGACTGTGTCATGAAAGAACTAAATAAATATTGTATGCTAAATTATTAAATATTTCTACATACACTGTCTTTTAACACTATACTACTAACGCCATCTATTTATTAAAAAATACTCATATTATTCTTAGTAACTTAATGAAATAAAAAATAATCATACACTTTTTTAGGGGAATCAAAATAATGAATTTTTTAAATTAAAAATTTAATTATAATAAGATTGATCATTTGTAGCTAATATTATTAAATTTATTTGAGCTTCAGTTTGATTTATATTTGATTATAAGTTTAAAAATAAAACAATTCAATTACCCTAATTAGTAAAATCAAACCATCGCCCACTGCAAATATATTAATATAAATTTTACGAATTTTGTGAAGCTCCATAACCAATGCAGCTCAAACAAGAGTATAGATCTTTGGTTTTATTTCTAAAATTATGTCAATCCGAGGTCTTCTAATATACTTTAATAATTAAGTATACAAATAGAAAGAAATAATTTTTAATGCATTAAAATACAATGTCAAAATTTAAAGAAGTACTTAAATGCGTAATTATCACCTGTTTCAAAACTATCATTGTTAACTTGAATCATATTATCAAAATTCATTCTAATTTATTCATTCCTCTAGTTTTTTAATGCTTTAATATTTAAAAAAAATAATTGAAATTTAAACAGTCATACTTAATATGCTAAGAAACGATTTTCTAAAATCTACAGATATATCTGGTTGGGTTAAGTAATACGTCCAATAATATTTTTATTTACCATAAAATTTGTTCATTTCATCAATTTTATTTACTTTTTTAACAAAAAAATTTGATTCATTTAACAAAATGTTATTGTATCATTATTAGAAATTTACTATTTTCATCCATGATAAAACTATAAAAAATTATTTTAAAAATAATACTGGAGATGTGGATAATTAATATGACTGATTTATGGATCACAAATAGATAAAACATCAAACATTTTTATTCATAGATCTAGTGATTTTAATCAGTAGAATCTTGAATATTTGTATATGAATTATTATTATGGTAAATATGCATTTATTTTAACTTCAAAAGGAACTATAACTATAATAGCTATTGTTTTAAAAATTGTATATTGAACTAAATAAAAGTCTTTTGAACATGTAAAAAGATTTTAAAGCTAGATAAAAAGTAGTCGAAATCAAGAGTTGGTCGTACTAAGGAACAATATAATGTTTTAAACTGCATGTTTTTTAATTTTGAATATTTCTTTTAATATAGACTAACATTTTATATAATTTATTTGATAATAAATTATGAAAAAATTGTAAAGAAAAGTCTTATTCAAAATGTTCATCTAAATATTTAATTACAGTTTCTCCTAATTATTATTATTTACCTAATTCATTATTATATAATTTATAACTAAATAATATTAAGTTCTTTGAACTATTATATCAAAGTATTTTCCATTTGTCAATATTTAGAGGAAGACAATTTTTAATACTTCAGCTTTTAAGGGCCATTAACGTAACACAAATCAGCTTCAGGTGGAAACTGATTTGTGTTAAAAATTTATGTTAAGATAGGTTGGGTTGGGTTGGATCTTATATTCAAATTTCTTCTAAAATCTTTTTTACCTTATCTACCAATCTTTGTTTTGATCTACCTAGTGTTCTTTTCACAAGGGATTTCCAATTTAATACCGCATTTATTAGACTATTTGACTTCCATACAGTTCATCTATATCCTGTTCTTTATACAACTGTTGTAATTCCATGTTGCTTCTTATTTCATATTGTTATGTGATATTATTTCTTTTTGGCTCATATATTCTTCTTTCAAAGATTGCTCTGTTATCTTCATCTCTTTTGGTTAACAGTCACGTTTCATATGCATACAAAAGAACTTGTCCGATAACTACCTTGTATAGTGTAATTTTCGATTTGATCGATACTTGCTTTGATGTAAGTATGGTCGTTAACACATTATATCATTTATTCGCTGCAATATTTCTTATTTAAATTTTTTCGTAGTTATTATTTTTGCTATTTATTAAAATAGTGTTTAAAACTATAGTTTTAAATACCTTAAAGAGTACGTATATGTACTCTTTCAAACTTCAAATTCTCAACTTCTAAATGTTTCTCATGATTTTCTAGTCCTAATATTACCATATAGTTGGTCCTTGATTCGTTGATTAGTAATCCGATGTGTTTACTATTTGTTATAAGTCCCTTAGTGCCCATTTTTACTTCTTGTCTATTAGATTCTTATATAATAATATCATTTGCATACGCTAGTATTCAGCTTTGCCTTTTGTTTCCCTCCAAGTTTAATCCATTATACTTGCTCTTAGTTTTCTTGACTACTGTTCTAGTGATATATTAAAGAGTATAGCAGATAATATATTTCCCTGTCGGAGGACAGTCTTAACTTTAAATTTATCAGACATATATTGGTTGAATTTAACTTTACAACACGTTTTATTCTTACCTAATTAGATTATTTTCACTATTTTGGTTAGTATTCCAAAGGTTATAAGTGCATTCCATAGCACTTCTCTATTGACTGAGTCATACACCTGTTTATAATCAATAAACAACAAATGTAAGTCCTTGTCGAATTCATATTGCTTCTCAACTACTTGTAAAACAGAGAATATGGTCTATGGTGGATTTCTCGCTTATAAATCACATTGGTAGTCTCCGAAAATTCTTTTGTATAAGGCCTATCCTATTTAATATAATGCCTGATAATACTGTAAGAACATTTGTAGAGATGAATGTTGATGGGAGAAGAGGTAGAGGAAGACCAAAAAAAAAAAATGGAGGGATTACTATTGAATGTGATATGAGAACAGCTGATGTGAGCGTAGATGATGTGGGAGATCGTGTCAAATAGAAGTTTAGGTTAAGGGTGGCTGAACCAAAGTAGTTGGAATTAAGGCGAGGAAAAAGAAGAACAGAAGAAAATTGTTTTTAATATCGATATTCTTGGGTAATTATGATAGCTTGAAACATTTTCTTTTTTATAAATTGGACTTATTATTGCTAATTGCCATTCTTTTGGCATTTCTTCTTTATTTCTCCTATTTCATTTATCTATTCTTTACCACTGTATTTCAAGAGTTCTGCAGCTAAACCATCGTCACCCAGTGATTTGTTGTGTTTTAGTACCTTTATAGCTGTATTAATTTCTTCGTCTGTAGGATCCACGACTTTGGGTTCTACAGTATAGAACTCTATATACTTCTAACTCTATTATCAACTAGTGTAATTTTTAATACATCAGAGAAAAATATATACAGTTTATCTTTTAATACCTCTCAAAATCTGAAAACAATATTATTGAACAGAATAACTTAACATCATATGCAAAAAGTATTATTTTGATACTCTATTTATTAACTGTGGTAATTCATTAATAAAAATTAAGATAAGTAAGTAGAGATCTTAAATGAAAAGATAGTTTTACTATCTGAAAATAATTTATTTAGTGTGGAGCAACGTATTTAAAAAATATCATAATTCCCTTATAAAAAACTTTCTGAAAATCCATTATTTTTAAAACCATCAAAATTCATTAAATATAGGTTAATAGATTTGTCGAAATAAAATGTTTCAACAAAAAATTATGCTAGTGTGGATTTATGTGATTAATTAATGTTTAATAATAATATCAATTTTTTAGTTATAATTTGCAAGAACTTGAAAAAATTAGGCTTTGTATTTTTTCTGAAGTTTAAAAAAAGTTACTATTTTGTTAGTTTAAACTTTTAACTAACTTGTTTTTTTTAATTAATTAGGTTTCTGAGGACTGGATTTGATCATATAATATTGTAATTTATATCTGGATTTTTTTATACTTAAAAACATACATTTAAAAAGTATGTTAAATAATTTAATAAAACTTACCATTAAACATGTTTAAACTTTGATTATTAAAATGTTGTAAAAATCAATTTTTGAGAGATGTGAACATAGAATACTTAGTTTACACGAATTAAAATTGTACAAAATAGTAGTTGATGTTTCAATAAGAGTATTAAAAATATATTATAGTAAGCAAATAAATTCTATACATTTATAAATCAATATAAATGTAATGATTCCTTTACGCCAACCATTTTTATTTCTCATAAGAAATACTCGTACACAATTGAATAACCGTACTATTTGATATAACCCAACTCAAAAGATTGTTCTTCAGTAATTATCAAGAAAAATTGTTTAAATGAAAAACTATGAAATCGACCTAATTTTAAATAACTAGTTTTTTATTTTTTTTTAGTATTTCATTTACATAGCATTAAATAATGAAATTATTTTTATAAAACTCTTAATAATACGCTATCATTTTAATAGGCCCTGACAATCCTGATTTAATTTATTGTTAGCAATATGACCGCTTTTTTGAAGTGAATATTTAATTTTTAGGTATGTATAATACATGTATTTTTGTTTTGTCACTTTCATGACTTAGATGTTTTTAAATTGATGCTGAGTCATCTATATTTTTAAAATGATATCACTAATTTGTCATTTTTTAAGTACATATTTCATTATTCATTATAATTCAACATTATATGTAATACCAATTTATTATTTTGGTACATATTTGCCATATCATTTAAATAATAAGTAATTTAGAACCTAAAATTTATTAAAAAATGTATAAGATTATAAAACATTATATTGAAAATAATAATCATATTTTTAAATATTAAAATATAACAGTTAAAAACAGAACAAAAAAAACAGTTTATTTAGACATTTTTATTGTATATTCAACATAAGACCGTGAGAACTTTCTAAACGAATTAATTACTTTAAAATTTACATTGGGTAATAATTTTTTACCTAAATATTCATTGAAAACATGAAAACTTAAAAGACTCACAGCAAATGGCGTATTTTCCATAAAATCATGATGTTTTGTAAATATTCCATTATTTTTAGCTAATTTATTGA